AGCCTGAAATCTTTCATATGTACATGTGCATGGCTTTAGGTGAAAAGCTGATGGCAAACATTAGAAATGGATGCACCAGGCAGATAATGCCAGAGCCCTCCTCCCCATAATCTTCATAGCACAATACGACAGAACCAGAGAGTGTTTACCTCCTGATGGAAGTAACACCACCACCTACAAAACATAGCTCCCCCTAGAAAAAGAAAAAGAACTTGAACTTGAGATCAAGTTAAGCTCAAACTTCTTAAACTAATTACACCAGTATGCATAAATAGCAGGGGACACCGTGTGCATTCAAGCAGCAAAACCCACTGTCAGGAAAATTCTACTGGACAAGCAAATGAGTTGTCAGAAGAAAAAAAAAGAGAAAGGAGTACAGATAAGAGACGCACCAACCAAACGTACTGTGTGGGCCTTGTCTGAGCCTGGACCCAAACAAACCAGAGAAATGAGAACACTCGCTGAAGAAGGGATGACATTAAGAGATTACTATTAAGTGGGGTATAGGTGGTATAGTTATATTTTCAAAAGGAGTTCATCACTTTAGGAGGGATATTTATGGATTAAATATGATTCTGGGATTTGCTGCAATAAGGCAGTAAGAGCTCGCAGGATGATACTATTCTCTCTACCTCTGTGTATGGTGGACATTTCCCATCATTAGAAGTTTATGTATATTACATACACACACACACGCGCACGCGCACACATATTCTATCATTAACCCAGAGACCGTGTTCATGGCCAGCTCCCATCTACAAAAATTAACAACATACATAGGCTTCAAAAAAATACAAAAGGTTCTTTTTCCCTCACTTGGACCCAAGCGTAATGATGGATTTTCTTGCTAGCCAGGAAAGTTCACCAAGATAAACAAGTCGAGTTGAAAATGTTAGAAGCGGCCAAACTCCTGGTGAGGTGCTCTGGAAATGAATACACTGCATATTCTGGGAAGCGAGAACAGCAGAAATGTTTCTGGAGGAAAACCTAGGGTCTCTGCCTTGAATCGATGTTGGTAATAATATCCAAGAAGCTCATGTATGGACAACGGCCCATGTATGCTCTGTGCTTAGTTAGGATTTTACAGTAGGCTGAGGTAATCACATTATCAATGCTCACCAGAGGTTTTCAGAATTTCTCAATAAATAATACCAATTTGCATGATTCCATCCCCATATAAGAGCCCATCTTCAATAGCAGAAAACTAATGAGGCTGTCTTCTTCTCACATATAACCTGTGCAACTCAGAGGAGGGTACTGAAGGATTTGTCACTTGCGTAGAATTTTAAGCATGGCATGAGGGCCCATGTTGTCTCTCCTTCCTGTGAGGCTGTGTCAAAAAATAGAGTGGACATGTAAAGTACAACCCAGAGCCGATTAAATGCTGCCTCTCGAGCCAGCTCCATCTGAGGAGCTGGGGTGGGTCCCCCAGGACCGAGACCAGGTCCAGAACTTTGCCACATGCCACTCCTGAGCCTCCACTGGGGAGGGTGGGTATCTTTACAGTCTCTGGCAAGGAACGAAGACTGTCCCCTTGGCAGGGGTATGTGTACCATCTGCTCCCAAACGTGGGGCCTTGCTAAGGAAACGAGAAAGAAAACTGGCCATTCTCTGCAGGAGCACAACTGACACTCCATTCCGGCTGCAGGTGTAAGGACACCTCTCCCTCTGCTGTAGTCTGCTTCCTGTCCAATCCACCCAGAGAAACCGAGGTGGCCTTTTCCTATTCCTCAAGTTACTTTGATTACAAGACATGAATCTACTTCCTAGCAATGCCTAAGGGAAGGGGTTTTCTCAGTCACCCGAGCCCTGGCACTTCTTATTTTCTAGAGTGTTCAGTCTTAAGCTGATCCTGCAATATAACCTTTGTCTTCAGATAAGGAAATGGAGATGGCCAGAGTGATGGAGGCCAGGTGAAGGAACAGGCACTGGGCCTGGCAATCCTGCTCCCAAAGGCCCAGCCAGCGGCAACAGGTGCCAGGCGGGACTCCCCTGTGAGGCTCAGCGCTTCTGTGCGACCTCAGAGCATTCGTCCACCACACCGAGCCCCAATCACCTTCACCAGAGCTTCTGCGAGTGAGAATTAAATTAACTGCAATCTCGCATAATGCCTGGCATTAAAAGTAGCTGTTATCTAGCGACACTGTGAAGTCCTGATTCTCCCTGGTGATGACAGAAAGCAAAGTGTGGCCAAACGAAAGAAAGCAACCAACCTCTAACTCAATGAGACAGTCCTAGCAACTTTTGAAGACCTACCAAAGTAAAGTACTTGCTTCTGCTTGTTTCTTACCCAGCCCTTTAGCAGAAGTGGCACGGGAGGACATAGCCACATACCACAGAACACACGGAAGCACCCTAGCAGGCATCTGAGTCTCTGGAGGCTGGCTGGGCTGTATGTACAGAACACACAGCAGTGCTGTGGGAAGCACCACCACAAACGGACAAAGTGAGCAGCAGCCAGTAGCCGATCCTGAAAAAGCAGCTTGATTTGCTTAAGCAAAACTATTTCTAAAAGCGGTATTGACTAGGGCTAATTAACTGAAACCCTGTTGCTGACACAAATTGCAGGAGAATGCGCACACACACACTGCTGGGTGATGGTAGAGAAAGCAAAAAAATGGCAGCAAGGTTCAGACTCCAGCTCACACAAGCATGTACCAAAACCAGCCATCTGGCAGGGCCGGCAGGGGGCATGGCCAGGTCTCAGCACCGGAGAAAGCCAAGTCCCTCTAGGCAGGACCCAGCTCATCTTTCTATTGTGTCTTCCCTGGTGTCTATGGTATGTCCTTACTAAAGAAATGGACAGGGCCGGCCGAGTGGCGCGCTGGTTAAGAGCTGGCTTGGGACGCCAGAGGGCCCCGGTTCGGATCCCACATATGAGGACCAGTGACACTGCCCTCCACAGCTAAGATGCTGAACAACAGCTCAACCTGGAGCTGGGCTGCTGTGGGTCGCCGGCGAAGGCGTAGGCTGCAGCCCCTGTGGCAGTGGGTTGCCATGGGCTACCGTGTGTAGCCAGCAGCCAGCATGAGCGGCCAGCAGCCAGCATGAGTAGCCAGCAGCCAACGTGAGCGGCCAGCAGCCGCTGTGAGCGGCCGTCCAGAAGCCAGCGATGGATCTGCCTCGCCCGGGTGCCAACTTGGGCCAGTGAAGCAACGTCCTCCACAACTAGACTGAAGAACAAAAGGACAGCAACTTGTCTGTTCCCCTTCCCCCAATTCCTCAGCGCTGTTCCCATCCCCCAATTCCCAAATAAAAATCTTTAAAAAAAAAAAGAAAAAGAAATGGACAAATGAATCATCGACCAAACCAATCCTGGGTGATTAAGGAAGTAAAGCTCACGCTAGTGTTAAAGCACAGGGTTTGACATGCCCAGTAATTACCCTTCATATGAGGCTGCGACAGTTAGGTTGGTCAAACACTCCCATTCCCATATTACCTACCTATAAAGAGCAATACTGCAGTCACATCTGACACCGTCACTACATCTGCACACAGGATGCAAGAGAGAGGCACGCTGCCCCCTCACTGCCAATAGTACCACACAATTCCTGCCATCTGCTGAAGGCTGACTAGGTAGCAGACACGGTGCTGCCTTCTGGGCAATTGAGCCCAATGATCGCTGCTATGGACTGAATCATGCCCCCCAAATTCATATGGTGAGCCCTACCCCCCAGAGGGATGGTGTTTGGAGATGGGGCCTTAGGAGGTGACTAGATTTAGATGAGGTCATGAGTAGAGCCCCATGGTGGGATTAGTGCCCTTATAAGAAAAGGAAGAGGCACCAGAGACCAGAGCTCCCCCACACCCCCACCACATGAAGACACAGCAAGAAGGCAGCCGTCTGTAAGCCAAGAAGCAGGCCCTCACCAGATACCGAGTCTGCCAGCGCCTTGATCTTGGACTTGCAGCCTCTAGAACTGTGAGAAGTAAATGTCTGCTGCTTAAGCCCCACAATCTATGGGATTTCGTTACAGCAGCCGAGCTGGCTAAGGCAGTCAGCATTGACAGGTGAGAACAGTAGGCACAGAAGGTGTGAAGCACATGCTCAAGTTCAGCAAGTGAAGCCAGGCTCGGAATCGAGAGAGAATAGACTCTTGACCAGCAAGCATACGATACTCTTTCTTAAAAGAATTAATTCTTTCAGGCCAACAGTATCACCATTTATAAAATAACTTTTGTTCATTGAATTTCCTGATTTAACATAGCTCACAAATATACGAAATTCATCCCCAAACTCTTAATAGGGATGAAGTTTTAATTGTAAAGCTGCCAACTGGAGGAAGACCAATAGGCCAGACTGTCCAATAGAATGTTCTGTGATGATGGAAATATTCTATTAACTGTGCTGTCCAATGCAATGGCCACTAGCCCAGTGGTTCTCAAATGGGGGCAGCTTGCCCTCCAGGTCTGGAGACATTTTTGACTGTCACAAACGGGTAGGAGGGTGCTATCGACATGTAGGAGTCAAGGCCAGGGATGCTGCTCAACATCCTACGATGCACAGGACAGTCTCCACCACAAGGGGTTCTCTGGTCCACACTGCCAATAGCACTGAGGTGAAGAAAATCTACACTCGCCACATGTGACCACTGAGCATTTCAGATGTAGCTACTGAGACTGGGGAACAAAACTTTTTGTTTGATTTCATTTTAATTAGTTTGATTTTAACTTTTAGAATAAAAAAATTAAAGCGACTAAAACTAACAAAACTGGAATTCAAATTCAAACAGCCACGTGTCTGTTGGACAGTGCAGCTATCAAGAACGTGCATAAATATCAAATAAAGGTCTTGTTTCCCAAGTATTTCCATTTAAAGGAAAGAAGTATCTTTAAGGAGCAGAGAGATTCTGATGCTTAGGATTGGGAGATAAGGAGCATCAATGAAAGCATAGACGCGAACACCCATGAAGCTTTAGGACTCATGTCCAGGCACCAAAGAGTCAGCACGAAAGTAAATCACCGGGCACCGCCCCCTTCTATCATCACAGGCAACTCACTCTTGCAGGGTCTCCACTCCCTTCTCTTTGTACTGCAGTTCTTGCTTCATCTGGGTCAGCTCTCGCTTTAATCTGGAAAGCTAAAGACAAAACATTTTTTTCCCAAAGAAAGCTGTGAAAATGATTTCTACAGTTGTTAACACTGTCATCGAAGTTTCTGATTAGTTTGCAACTCATTGGCTCATCAGTCCTCTCCATGAACTTCCATCCACGCACATATAAAACAGCCACGCTGGAAGAGCTGCCTCGTTTAGGCACCAAAATCCCAGATCACTAAGAGGTTCCTAACTGGCAACTATCTTCTTTTTCAAGGTATTGACTGCCTCGTTACAATTAGCAAACGATGTAATGCTTCTTCATCTTCCCTCCCACTCGCCACTCACAGAGCCCACATATGCAACACTGGTGGTCTCGTCTACCTGAAGGCCCACTGCCTGGAGTGCTTATTTAAACAGATTCTGGGACCCGCTCCAGGCCTGTGTTAGAACTCCGGGGGTGGGCCTGCGAGCTCACACTTTGAACCAATTCCCCGGGTCTTTCTCTTCGGTGCGCTAGAGTTTGAGAAGGCCTGCCCTAAAAGATGTACTCTGCTTTAGGAAATGAGACACCAGAGCAGGGCACTTCGGTTCCACCGTGTCTCCTACGCGTGGTTACAAATGCAACTAAACGGATCCTCTTCCCAGACAACCTAGACAAGGGGCTACAGGGGTGAAACCAGGGGTACACACAGAGGAACACAGGCGACTTTTTGTTAGATGGGCTGAGGTTGTAAAATGAAACACTTTCCCTCCTATTCGAAAAAAGTGGAGAGTAAAACCAAATGTAATAATAATCCATGAAATCAAAAATCTTCCTAACATATGACTGTTACACACTGACCGCCATAAAATGAACACACGAATACACGTGGGGCTTCCAGTTGTGGAAGCGCTCGTTTTACTCACCCTGTCCCGGCGACTGGCTATTTCTGCTTTAATTTGGTGTGGGTCGTACTTTGTGTTTGTTGAATATCCAGAGAAGGCTAAACAGAAGGAAAATATTTGATTTTACAATGGATCCTTTAAAATAAATAAATAACATAGATAGCAACTTCTGATTCACCATATTAAATGATTAAGTCTCAGATTTACAAGTTGGCACTAGATCTAAAGAATCAACATTTCACAACCTCAAATGTGGATGTTTGATTTTTGCATGAGGCCTTTCTACAGGATTCCACATAATAAAATAGATTCCACATAAGAAAACAAATCCAAACTCTGTTTACCTCAAGTGCAAAACTGCTAGTGTTAAAAGCCGTATACACATGGGGAGGGGCAGGTAGGCTTACGGTATGGAAGGCTGTTCCTACTGTAAATAGTACATACAGTATAAATCAGTTTTAGTTTCCTTTAAAATGCACACACATAGAAGTCGCTGGAAAGATAGAGCCAAAAAGTCAACTGTGGTTATTTTCAATGGTTTCATTACAAAAGGTTTTATTTTCATTTTCTTCGTATCTATAGTCTCCAGAGGAACAATGTCTGACATAAGAAAGAAAAAAAAATGCTCAAGATCTGCAAAACGAAAAAGACAACTTTGTAGTAAGTGTCAGCATCTGACGGGCTTGAGAAAAGGCTATTCTTCTGGGTTGTTTGTTCCACACACACTAAAGTGCAACACCCATGCATTTATTCCCGCAACTTGTTTTTGATGGGTTTTAGTTAAAACACATCACGTGGCTAAAGGCGTTTTTAACACCGCAGCACACACGATCTGAACTCCTTTCACAGACATAGCATCATTATGATGAGGAGCCAGTACCTGGGGGGAATGAGACCAAGAGCTGTTTACCTGTGTGTGCTAAGCAGTTGGCCAGTTTCTGTCTACCTCTCGTGCTGTTTCAGCTGCTGCAGCAGCTAGTGGCTGTTTCTAATCCCATCACCCCTTCCACCATTCTGCATGGCTATTTCCTGATGCTTGTCTCCTTTCTCTCAGGCTGCTGAAGCCATCAGCTTTTGTGCTGCAGTGACTTGGTTACTATCCCTTCTTTAATGGTGGAGTGATCCTGTGTCCTCGTCTGTGGTCACCCTTCGCTGGTGTAATCTGCCTCCGGGTCATTTGCATTCATGTTGCCTGCTCAGAAGACCCAACCGCAGGGCCAGCATCCTTTCTTTTACTCCTTTGATCTGGGTACCGAAGGCTGTCAGTCAGATAACTAGGTGCCAACACCTAGGAACTAGTTCAAAACCATTTCCTGACTTCCTATTGGAAAGGATGGCTCAGAGCCATCAAATGGCTTAAACAGCAAGATTATTTCATAGCCTTGACTAGAACCACATCCAAAGTTAATCTGAGCAGCTCAGATATCTCCTTTTGAAAAAAATAGTTCTATGGAAAATCTACTATTTAAGCCGCCATCAGTCAGAATTTCAAACCACTAGAATCTACTGCAAATAAATATCTGGAGGAGCTAAGTGTTTGCCAACTTTATCTCAAATGTTCTTATATTTAGAATCATACTCTCTCAAGATGTGGAGTAAAATGTTTTGAACATAGAATTCTTTCTTAGACAAAGAATGTCTATTTCCAAATCCTGCAACTTCCATCTTGTCTGGCTCTTTGGTTTCATTTCAGATCAGTAATGAAAGCAACACCTCCTCAAAGAATGCCCTTAAGAGGCAGAAATCATTTCTACAAAATCTCCACATTAAACTCCTGGGACTTCACAGTTTCTCAGACCTGAGCTTAACAGGCTTCCACTTCGGACCCAGAGAATATGTAAATGAGCCTAGGGCTTGCTGACTCCTCACTTCCACTGTGTCAACTGGTCACCTTGCAGTTGAGGAAGACAACACCAACAGTTATCGCCTGGGATCTTTCCCATTGGGGTAGGAAGTAACGCCACCACCACAGTCCGGGGAAGTTAAACACAAGTAACAATGGCATGAAATCATTTCCACAAACCTTGAAGTGCAGCATAGAGGTGTAGCAGGTACAATTGGACGAATACACAACCACCTGCTCCCGTGCTCCTTCCTAACTCCCAGTATCCTGAGGGTGTCAGGTATCTACCTCTTCCCCAGGAGACTCAGCAGTAGCCAGTCCTGGAAGTGATGCCTGATGAACCCAGACATCACGAGTCCACCAGTAGGAAGCCACCCCACCTCAGAGGAACTCTGTTATATGACAATGGATTTTCCTTATTGCCCAGGGCCATGGGCGGTAGTCTTTTCTGTGACTTACAGCTAAAACCATCCTAAATAATAGACTAGGTTTTCCTTATATTGATGTTACCTTTGCTACAGTCTCTAAAATTATAAATTTCCAGGACTGGGAGGAAGAAGAAGGCAACTCAGGTACCTAAGACAGTGAGTCCATTTTACCTTCAAATTCTAAGGAGAGCTGTGAACGCTGGCATAACTTTTAATAATATAATTTAATTTATATCAATTCTCAGTTCCTTACATCTGCCAGTTAGTCTAGTGGAATCCATTTCTGGAGACCAAGGAATAGCTCAGGACTCCAGACCCCATTTTTAATAGCACGCGCTCCACAACATTAGAAAAAATATCTTCCTCTGTTAAGACATGTCTCCAATCTCAAGGTTTATGATAAATACCAGACTTTCACCTCTGAAGCTTTCTTCTCTCTTGAAGAGCTGAGTGGGCAGAGCTATTAAAATAAATAGCTTAGGGAGTCCACTCAGGCATACACTATTGTTTTGGCTGACATAATAATAAGGTTTTAGTTTAGCTGGACCACAACAACGTAAATTATTATACCTTGCTATTACAGGGTGCCTTTCACATTTATTTCATCTATTCTCATAAAAATCTATGAGAGATGATGAGTACGTTCCCCCCACTTTATAGATTAAAGACTGAGTTTGTAGTGACTTTATCTACAGTCACGGAGGGACTTATGTCTGGAATTGGGCTCCTGTGGGTCACCTGTCCAACGTCCTTTAATCAAATTAATTTTCCAATGTAAGAAGGAATGGCCCTCCGGCGCCCCCAATGCCCATGGCCCAATAGTGAACCAGACCTGTGTCTTTAACATTCCAAATGCTGCAGACCGCAGTCCTTATCTTAGGTTTCGATCTTACAGGTTACTGAAAGGGGGAAACGTGTGTGTCTGTGTCTCCATCTGTCTCTGTCTCTCTCTTCCACACAGGCTTCCTCTGTGCTGTGAGAACCTAATGTCACCCCAGGGGGAGGACATGCTTTAAAAGACCAGGAGTTCTTCTCCAAAGACATCCTCTGGACAGATTGCTCCTGGGGACCGGGTGGGCGCCTCCAGGCCTTAGCACTGCAAGGAGTTGCTCAAGGGAGCCGAGGAAGAGTGGCGGAGAGGAGGCAAGCCCTGGCAGATTCCACGCTGACAGGTACTAACTACCAGAGCAGCGACAAATCACCGAGGCCAACAAAGGAGGGCACGACATTTTTTAAAGGCACCATAATAAGCAAAGGACCCAAAAAAATCAAGCCCACTCAGGGGTGACCTAGAGAAGTAACACAAGAAGCCACCGAGTCCAAATGAAGAATTCTCTCTAGAACAGACTAGGGGATTCTCTCTCAGTAAACATGTGTGCTCCACTACAACCTTCAAGATTGAGTCTTGCCAGCTAATACCTGTGAAAAATGCTGTGTGATCCATTTTTCTCCTGCCTGCTCCAACATGCTTGCATGAGGGAAAACAAAAGGCTGAATGGATGGACTTCGGCCCTTATCCTAATCTAGATAATAGATGAGAAACCCTTTACCAGAGAAGAAAGGAAGATAGTCTTTGTGGGAGGGGCTTGGAGCCTCAGAAAGAATGTTGGCAGGACTGATCGCTGATAAGGTCAAGCTTCACCACCACCTAACTCAGGAATTCAGGATGGGTCAGCACTTTCTCACCAGAGATAAGCCTGACTCTTTCCCAGCCACTCCAAGACTTTGCGTATAGACTATGGGTAGCTCCTGGGAACCAGGGTAACAAAGCCATGTTCCTGCTGCTAAGAGAGACAGCCAGTCAGTCTACACTAGAGGATGTCAACTCTGGGGGTTACGTGGGGAGCTGTAAAAAGAGAGAGAGAGAGAGAGAGAGAGAGAGAGAGAGAAAGAAAAGAAAAGGGGAAAAAAAGAAAAAAGTCTGGCCCCAGCCAAGGCCAGCTAAATCAAAATCTCTTGGGGTGGGGGCGCAGGCCGCAGCAGTTTTTAAAAGCCCTTCAGGAGATTCTTACATGCAGCCAGGCAGGGTTGAGAACCACTGGTGTAGACCAGGGGTTGGGAGACGTTCTCTGCAAAGGGCCAGATAGTAAATATATTTGGCTTTGTGGGCCATACAGTCTCTGTTCTCAACTCCACAACTCTGCCTTTGTAGCTGCTATAGACAAAAAGTAAGTGAATGGAGGTGGCTGTGTTCCAATAAAACTTTATTGACAAACACCCTGAGTGGACAGGATTTAGTCTGCGAGCCATACATAATTTGTTGACCTGTGGTTCAGACTATAATTTACTCCATGCAAGAATCCCTTCCAGAAGATCCCATAAATGGTCATATACTTCATCTGAACACATCCGGAGGCTAGAGTTTCTCAGGAAGAATGAAAGAGTAACTCTAGAAAAAAGGTTTCTAAAATAACGAATGTATTCAGTGTTAAAAGGAAGGCAAATAGAAGAACGTATGAGAATGAAGAAAATGGAACTGTAGAAAAAGTACCGGGTGTGTCTGAGGAAAATGAGTTCACTGCAGAACAAGCAGTTCCATCTCAGCACTCCACAAAGCATGAAACAGAACTGAGTACCAACAGCTAGCTCAGAAGCTCAAGCAAATCAAGTTGGGTTCTTAGCCTCACGGGGACACGTGTGCTCAAATCCATTAAAGCATCTAAGTTTGCTTTGGTCAGGCACAGAAAAGATCAAGGCTGAGATATTCTTAGATACCAGACGGTCCAATATCGACACAAAAATCATTCGTCTCCAATGAATGGAGTTCTATTCTGGTGATTTCCATAACTCAGGGGGAAGACTATGAAGGGTGTGAGCGAGATGCACTTTCCCTCCTGCCACCCTCCTCTGTACCCTTCTGCTCCGATATTAGAAATGGCTGTTCTAGTTAATTCCTCTGTTCACCATATTGCCTCATCTCCCCCTACAATCAGCCAGTAAGGATAAATTGTGTCCCCAACATTTAGTATATACCAACAGCAGGTGCTAAAGAAAGATCTGTTGAAAACTAAATAAACAGTGTAGCAATCCTACTGTGGGCCATGCGAAAGTCAAAAAGTAGAAAGTGCTCTGCCTTCCGCTGGCCCCATTTAGGGTTGCAAAATAGCAAGATGACTTGTCAATTTATAACCAGTCTTTATCTCCAGATAACTTGAACAATGGGAGGGCAAGGTGTTCCAAAAACACAGTCAGCTCTTCTGGCTACCTCTTCCATGTCCAGGAAACAGTGCCCAGCATGGAAGGCTACACACATACACACAGATCTGGATTCAAACCCAATCCTGCCATTCACTAGGTATGTAACCTGGAAGAAGTCCTTTAGCCTGCCCAATATTCAGTTTCTTGTGTGTACAACGAAGATAGCATCATGGGCTTCACAATGCTGCAATAATAACAATGCATAGAAAACACTGGCTCACTAAAGGAACACTGGTTCCTTTAGCTTCAAGTCAGTGCCAATGAAGGAACAATGGGAAGTAAGTCCAAATGTTCTTCTGTCCCTAGGACCAGAGCAAGGACACGCCTCCCTGACTTAGATGACTAGCGCTGAGAGCAGGCTGGGCAGTCCAGGAATGCTATGGATCGTACCACCAGCAGCTCCTGACATGGGCCCAGACCTCTGTAGGAGACATGTTAGATCATGGTGGTTCAAGCTAACAGGATCACTGTCTTGAACTTTATCCTGTGGCCAAAAATAATTCATTTGAGTCATAGCTAAGAGTTTTCCTCATTGTGACTGATAGTTCAGGTTAAATGGCAAATTGAAAGAGCTTGGTGAACACCCCAGGGACAGCAGCAACCAGATAAACCACTTGGGTTAATTCTAGATTCCATTCATAGTCTTTTCCCCTGATGACACCCAGTGGCCTCTCCGGCCCTTCATGAAAACAGCCAGGCCCAATCTGGCCTCCAAGGCAACCTACACAAGCAGATGCCAAGGCTGTGACTAGGCAGAGACTCCCAGGGGGCTGGGAAATGGAATCTGACAAGCATGTTCAAATTTCAAGTCAACACCACAGTCATCTGCTTCCTCGACTAAAGGTGTCTTCATACGCCACTTCGAAGGCAGCATCCTGAGAATCTTTTTTACTGGGCATTAATAAAATTCCGTGGGGCACAGGAAGGAATGTAATTGAGTGCAAGTCCCTATTTACCCCAATGGCCAGGGAATGCAAAGCCCATGGAGATATAAAAACCGATGCTGAGGGACATCCCAGCTCCATAGGACTACAACTTCTGAAACCTACAGGCTCGGTGCTGCATTAGGGTTCCTCCCTCGCGCCCCTCAGGCTGGGTGTGGATTCTGACGGGCTGCATCAGGTCCTCCTATATTTGCATCCTCAAGGGCTCCAGTCCCGAGTCCCCACGCTCACTGCAATGGACATGCTGGTAGCACTGGTAGGGTAGCCAGTAAGTAAGACACACCTTCTCTTGAGGCAATTTTTCCTCTCAATCGTTGGCAAGAAACTTCCTTCCAAGTCTTTCTGATACGTCCTTCTCCCGTTCCATGCTTGGAAACACTGATTGGAGAGCCGCTTTGGAGACCTAACCAAACGGGACCATGGAACAAATAAGGTGCCTGAAGGCTACTGGGAGGAAACACGCTATTAGGTTGAATCATATGAAATTGCCAATATTCAGACCTTTTTAAGCTACAGAAATGACAATTTTATATAGTTCAACCTAGCTTCTACCAAGTAACTTTCTGAAAGGTTTAGAATCGCTAACTGTATGTTCTCAGAAACAGTTAAAAAGCCAATGCTTTCAGCTTGATGTGACCTCAAGGCACCATGAGCTTCCAGTCCTATGAGATCACTTAAAAGGGGCCACATGCTGGGCCATAAAAGTCATCTTAACAGATTTCAAAAAACTGAAATTTTATAGCATAGTGTCTGACCACAATGGGATTAAATTAGAAATCAACAGCACGACATCTTTAAAAAGTCCCAACACCTTACTTTTAAAGAACCCATTGGTCAAAAAATAAATCACAAAGGAAATGAGAAAATATTCTGAATGGATTGAAAATGAAAACACCAAAATTTGTGGGATGCAGTTAAAGCCATACAAAGAGGAGAATGTATACCTTTAGAGGCTATGCGAGAAAATAAGAAATATCTAAAATCAATGATTTAAGTTGCCACTTTAGGAAGCTAGAAAAGGAGGAACAAATTAAAGCCAGACTAAGTAGAAAAATAGAAATAATAAAGAGGGAAAAGCAGTAGAGAGAAAACAGAACAGATGGGGGGAGAAAGTAACCCAAAAGCTAGCTCATTATAAAGATAAATCCAATCAACGAAAGTTTAGCTACACTGATTAAGGAAAAAAGAAGACACCGATTACTAAGATCAGGAATAAAAAAGAGAAGACACCACCTCAGAGTCTCCAGACATTAGAATTATAAGAGAATTTTATGAAACCTTTACGAACTTGACAGCTTGCTTGGATCAGTGATTGGCGATTTCCTTGAAGGCCAAATCCAGCTTGTTACCTGTTTTTATACGCTTACCAGGATAAGCCACACACTTTCGTTCACATATTGTCTCTGGCTGCTTTTGCATTATAACAGCAGTGTTGAATAGTTGTGAATGAGACCATATGGCCCACAAAGCAAAAATATTTACTGTCTGACCCTAGAGAAAAATTTACTGACTTTTGGATTAGTTGACATAGACAAATTCCTTGAAGCACACAAATACCAGAACTGATTCAAGAAAAAATAGAAAATCTGAATAGCCCTGTATCTATTAAAGGTACTGGTTTTGTACTTACAAACATTCTCACAAAGAACTCCAGGTCCACATGGCTTTTCTGGTGAATTCTATCAAATGGTTAGGAAAGCATTGATACCAATCCCACACAAACTCTTTCTGAAAAAAGATGGAGGGAACACTTCCCAATTCATTCTGTGAGGCCAGTATTATACTGATATCAAAATTGGAGAAAGACATTATAAAAGAAAAGAAAACTATGGAGATAAGAAACCAGCCTCTAAAAATTAGCATGGAGCTGACTCATCGCATTCTGATGGGCAGTTAAAAGAAAAAAACAAAAAAATCTAGGACATGCCGATATCTGAAGAACAAAAGAGGTAGACAACCTGGAAACAGCATACCATTATACCTGAGGCCCTACGTTCTCTCAAGGCACATGGTAAGAGAGCTAGCTGAAATTCCTGATATGGCTGGGAAAGCCCATCTCTCTCTTCCCCACAGCTTGTATGGCTTATCCACCTTCAACAGCAGCTGCAATAAAAACAGACCTATGGCCCCTTGGCCTTACCTCCATTCTGACTTGCAATGCAGAATAAAGCTTTGACCATATCTTAATGTTCAAAGCTGTGTCACCAGAGCCAAATACCTGGCAACATGACGGTCATGTCACAGGTAAGTCTTTCCATGTCTTGACTAGACTTAGGTTTTTAGAAAATAAAACCTAGCGGTACCAACTTCATATATTCTCCCCAAGCTCTCTGACACCCAGGACAGTTGTGACCATGCACACCTGTGGGGGGCTGTTGAGTGTGACAATTCCGCTGGGAAGGGATGGCTCAATCAGTGACTGACTGTGTCGGTGACAAAATGCCTTGCCTTCCAAGACTGGACCTGCTTCCTTCAATACCTGAGCATCTGCTGAGTACTACTGTAACGGGGAGCCACCTCCGGCAGCCTCCCGAAATAAGAGGTGTTCCCTTTGAGAACATCGGTGTGCATCCATCTAACTTGAGGGGCAGAAAAAGCCCCCTCCCCAATTGCCTGCGTTATACTGCGTTTCTCCACCTTCAGTGTGCTGCCCAGGAAAGGATCCTACAAAGAGACAGGTGCTTCACATATGTTAAGGCTCCTGAATCTCTCCATCCAGAATCAACGAAACCGTTGTGTGGATCTCCCAAGGATCGCCCGCCATAGTACTAACTGCAGGGATCTCAGGCGAAGGTCTTTTCCACGCTGACAAACGTGAGACACAAGGTTGTTTCATGTCACTACCTGAAATCCGCTTGTTTCTTTTCTCCCTCCCCAACCCAAATGTACGGAAGCTCCACGAGGGCAGGGACCTTTGCTTTCCTAGTTGCCAATCGCAGGGCCTGGGCACAAGGTAGGCACCCGGGAAGTATTTGCTACAGGAGTGGCTACTGAACGACCATCTGATTCCAGAGCGGGATACTGACGACCTGACAGTATGCGAATAGAAACCTTATGAAGCTGTCCTGCCCTAGTCAAGTTCAGCATGTGCAGAGAGCCTAGCAGAGAGGCGGCTTTTCAAGCCACACGTGTTCAGCACAGGAGTCCGTCCACTCACAGCTGGCGTAGGAGCGGCTGTCGTCCTCGCACATTCTGTGCAGCTGCTGGTACTCCTCCTGAGCCAGCTCGAACCGCTGCTGCTTAATCTGGTAGATTTCTTTCTTGGCATTGAGAGCCTCCTGGGCTACAATTAAATATTCCTTCAACATCCGTTCCTGCTCTCGCCTCCACTGTTCTCTGGGATCCTCAATCTGGGTAAGCTCTGAAATTAAAAGAGTAAGAACGTAAGTGACTTCCAAGTCAAATCTTTAGGTTGACCAGTAGTCATGCAGTTATGTGACTAGTCGATATGAAAATTAATTACCAGGATGCACATTATGGAAGAGTCTACAAAACAAACCTTCCTCACGGAACTAGTGAACTCCTTCTATTTTTACAGCCACAGTTAAAATGAGGACAAAACCCTATAGATATGAAATAGTTCATTGGAAGGGGAAGAGAATACCAGGCAATTTTTCACACTGTAAATAAATGTTGGCAGAGATGAACACAAATGGGCTCCTCGCGGTCAAACTAAGAGCGTTCCAACCTTCTTCTGACTGACCTCTGCCTCGGGTCTGACCGGCTGCACTGCCCCCTGACCCGGCTTGCTCCCCTCCTCCTTTCACCTCCCGCACCACACCGTGCAGTCCTTTCGCAATCTGCGTGGGCTTCCCCCATCTCCCACTCCAGCTTCCTCACCCTACAGGCTGCCATAAGGGCTCATGCCTTCCTTTGACTCCGATCTCTCTTCTGAGCTCCCATCTTTTTTTTCCAATTGCCTCCTAGATGCTTCTCCACCTAGACTGACCCAGAGTAACTCTGGGTCATTCGTCCAAAGCAGAACTTATTCTTACACGGTGCCCTTTTACTACCCAAACCCAAACCAAGCCAAACAATGACACAACAGCAAGTGCCTGCTTCTCCTCTGCCTTCCCTCTTCAAGTGAGCGGCACCCACTTAGCCAACCAGGGAATCCGGCCCGGGACTGACCCTCAGAGAAGCCTTCTCTTCTCACTCACCCAGAATACGGCATGGGTCATCAAGCAAGAACTGGGGAGTCCTGCCTGCAGTCATAACACTAATGACACGCCCTTCTCTCCATCTCCCCTTAGTTCCATCAGACCCTCAATGGTCTCTCTCCAAAAGCACCCACGCTTCCTGTCTCAGCCACCAAAAGCCATCCTCAGTGTGCTCACCAAAGTAGACTTCCTACCTCTGCTTGCAAGGCTTGAACACACAAACAGCTTTAAAGCACAACGTCTAGTATCCTCCACATGATATATGAGTCCCGAAGCTAACTTGCAGCTTCTTTTCTAGTTTCTGCCCTTTTCCCCACAAACATCCCCTAGACAGACTGGATTTGCCCTAAGTCCCCACCTTTGGCAATGCTAATCTGTGCACTTGTTCATGCTGCTTCTGTCCTCTTCTGCCCCCCAGGAAACCTCCCCATCTTCTAAGTCCCTTTGCGAAAGCACCTCTTTTTGGAAGCCTTCTTTGCCTGAGAGCATGTATGTCTCTATGCAACGGCTAAGACTGCTGTTCTTAGCACTTAGCACATAACTGCTTTTCTATTTCTTTGTTTCCCAACTAAACTACGAGCCCTAGAAGGCAGGTGCACAGCCTCGGTCATCCTTATGCTCTCAGCACCTTTCATCAGGCTGGAACCCAGAAGGCAATCCATTGTTGACTGCAGGCTCATTGAATGAGGACGGAAGAGGCAGTGTGCTCTGCGGACAGACAACTATGGTCCTGAAATCAGAGCCTCACATTGTGGGGATGGAGTGAGGAAACGGGCAAGACATCCCAACTCAGAAAACACTAACCCTCCCTTCAAGCAACAAATCTTCTACTGGCAACTTCCACAGAGGCGTGACCCGAAACGAAGTAAAAAAATGGAAAGTGGTGTCCCTGTTCCAAATTTATAGATCCCAGCCTATGGTTGCTGTTACAATGGTGACATATTGGAAAATATATGCAGGCTGCTGGCAGCCGAAATAAAATAAGAACGAGTTCATAGGAGAGAAAGGCTGGTAAAATTCCTGCACCCAAATCCTAAATAAATATGGAAAATAACTCTTTGTAAAGTGTGCTTGGGCAGTACTTCCACAGCAGCCAAAGGGCGGAAAGGACCCTCATTCCGTCAACTGATGACTAGATGGATAAAATGTGATCCAGCCAGACAATGGAATGGTATTCAGCCATAAAAAGGGATCAGGCTCTGACACTACAACATGGATGAACCTCAAAAACACGATGCTGCGTGAGAGAAGCCAGACCCAGAAGGTCACATGCCAGATGGTTCCATTGGTATGAAAGGTCCACAACAAGCAAATACACAGGGACAGAAAGGAGACTCGTGGTTGTCAGGGGCCGGGAGACTGGAGGGGAAATGGGGAGTGACTGCTAATGGGTTCGGGGTTTTACTTCGGGGCAATGAAATGCTCTGGAACTAGATGGAGGTGGTGGTTGTATAATGGTGTGAGCGTACCAAATGCCCCTGAACTGTACACTTCATAATAGTTAATTGTGTGTTCTGCTCATTTCACCTCAAAATGGTTGAAAAGGTAGATTTCATGTCATGTTTAATACACGCGTGCGCACGCACAAGTGCTTGCTAGGTTGTTGCAAGTAAGTTTTCCCTTTTAAATCCTCTCTCACCAACATCCCCTACCCCTGTTCACACTGCCACTGCAGGGCCCTCCTAGAAAGCCTCTCCAAGCCTTAAAAGCTCATATGGGGAAACAAGAACCCAAAAACCAACAAAAATCAGGGGCCTGCCCTAGCCCGAGTTGAGATTCAGCAGGCCTGGGGCGGGGCAGAGTCACGGCTGTTTGTAACTGCCCGGTGTCTCTGCGTTTATTCAGCCATGAGACCCACCATGGCCGACCGGCATTGGTCACACTGTGCCCAGTGTGCCAGAGGTTCCTGGGAACCTCGAAGGTGGTCAACCCAGGGCCCCTCTGGTCCCTCACCCCACTGTCGACCTGCACAGTTCCAATTTAATCTAACTGCCTCCTCAGGTTCGATGACCTTTTTAAAGCTGTGCTTTTCAAGAGCTGGATTCTCTCTCAGGAGTGAGTTCTCTAGAATGGGGTCTTTGGCACCCCATGTACAAATTATTACAACAAAAATACCTTTCTTGTTCCTGAAAAGAAAAAAAGAGAGTTGAGTTCCCTGAAGGTCTCGGAGGGAAAAGGTGGGTAACCCCGGAGCTGATGTCTCCACCAGCATGCCCCATGGTGCTGGGCCATCCCAGTTACGCTCAAGGTGGCAGCAACACAGCCCTTGATGATTACTCAGTTTTAGGGTTCACAGCCATGTCTAGAGTGTCATAGCGAATCCCTAAGGGTGGAGACTGGGTCGCACTTTCCTGCGTCCTCAGGGCCTAAAGAGTGGCCAGCACAGAAGCGCTCTATGACGCTTGCTGTGACTCAGCGGGCAGGCGAGCCAGGGGGCAGGGAGGGATGAGCAACTTGGGTTTATGAGAGAGACGAGCCAGAACAGGTCCTGGGCCTCAGCGGCAGGCAGGCAGGCAGGCAGGCTTTCCAGAAAGGTTGTGCAAGGCAGATGCCTATGCGGTTCAGTCATACCGCCGGGCCCCGGAGGCAAAAGCCTGGTGATGAGGCCTGATGAGGCCCTGCTGCACATGCACCCAGGCCCACAGCGCAGCGGGAACTGCCCTCACCTGTGGGAACTGCCCTGGCCTGTGGGAGTGGCCCTGGCCTGTGGGAGTGGCCCTGGCCTGTGGGAACTGCCCTACCTATGGGAACTGCCCTCACCTGTGGGAGCGGCCCTCACCTATGGGAGCTGCCCACTAGCAGCTGGGAAGGCAAGCCCAGATGGCCAGACACCCCGAATACACACAGACTCGAGGTCAAACGTGGCCATGAGGAGGGCTGCTCTCAGCCAAAGCTTTGCTAAGCACTGCACCCTGTCCAGTGGGCGGTGGATCCACCTAGAAGCCCTCTTCCCACTTGGATAACTGCCTGGGAGGGCAGCAGGGCCAGGGCTGTACTTGTCCCCAGTGCCCAATCTCTTGTTTCCAGAGCTGCAATCTAGTGCAGGGCTGAGTGCCATGTATCAGAAACTCCACTGCCCCAGGACTGACACAGGAAGCCTCGCCATTCAGGTTTCCAAATGCTGAATTTGGGAGGCAAGTCAGCAAGTAACAATGAGGAAATTGGCCCTAAAGACACCAACCTGGGTGGCTCACACTAGAAGGACTTGAGGACCCATGGCATCAGGCTCATGGGGTGGGCACTGTGCATCTTCAGGCCCTCCCAGCCTTCCCCGCACTAAATAAATCGGAGGGCAGAAAGCACACTCAGGGGAAGCCATGCTTTATGTCCCCAGTAGGAAAAAGTGACAATGACAGAAACACTTGAGGGCAGCTAGATTGAAAATGGGAGAGAATGAGAAAGTGTGAACCTGAGAGAGAAATGGATCCCCAGCTGATACCCGATCAAGGAAGGCTGATGAATGAAGAGGCAGAAAGCCAAGAGTGACGGGTGACGGGTGGAAAAGAGATCTAGAATGAAATGGAGCCTGTGAACCAGGAAGTGTCAACCTCAGCACTAGTGACATTTGGGGTCAGCTCATTCTCTGCTGTAAGGGCCATCCTGTGCATTGTAGAAAGCTTAGCAGCGTCTCTGGCCTCTAATCACTAGATGCCGGTAGCACCGCTCCCATGTGTGGCAATCGAGAATACCTCGCGACATTACTCAGTTTCCCTGGGAGGCAAAACCAGTCCCGCTGAGTACCACTGCTCTAAACAGTTCTACGAAGAAGGCTGGCATGGTCAAGGACCCATTATTTAACTTTGCAATAACCAACCTTCTCACTATGAGAAGTGTTTCTACTTCCAGACTGCCTGGGAAATTTATTCCTTAAATTAGACATTAAGACCCTCTGTTAAACATACGTTATGCAGTCTTCAGCAACATGCACGCAAGGTAGCTACATAACTGCTCCATTTTTTTAAAAACTCAGCTAATGAACACTTCAGATCACATTTGTAAAACCCAGTTTAACACTGCGTCAAGCAGTCATGACCATTTCGCTTCCCAAAAGGAGATTTAGCATCTTTGAGACCAACATTAAAACTCGTTCACATATAATAACTCAAATGTGGCACTCTACTTACTATTTATGTGGTCCATGTAATAAATTCCAATTTGTTTATCATATACAGTTTCCCATCCTAAAGGAAGTTCGTCCCCAACACAATCAGCAAAGGTCAATGGCTTTGTTATCCTGCAAAATAAAATTATAAAAGCAAATGTGAAAATCAGGTCAATTTCGTGTAACTTGGCTGAATCGACTCTAGAATTAGGTTTTAATACAAAATTATATAATACCTAATTGACTGCTTTGGCCCCAACTTTTGGTTGGAAAATTAATTCACCTGCTTTGCCTAAATAATAATCAGTAACAATATCAGTACGCACACAGTTAAAAGCATTACTATCTCAAAGAGCAACTTTAAATACCAGCGAAAATAGATATTGGAAGTTACAAAACAGGTAAAACAAGCATCTTCTTCCAAGCAGTGTGTTTAAGGAGGTGATGACAGTGGAATGCAGCTCTCTGCTTCGTGCTCATTCCCTGAGCAATGTTCCCCCCTCACAACTTTCCACCTCCATACATTACAGCTTAAATGAATGTATCTAAAATGCCTTTGTACTATTTTCATCTACCAGTGGTCATAAGTTAAGGAGTTAAACGTTGACCATGGACCAAATGCAAAAAAGCAAACAAGTATGGGAACAATACAAGGAGATGCCTGCTAAATACTGCCTGGATTCCTGATACAGTGGGAATCGAGATTGCAAAGGGTCCTTTTGGTTTTCTGCAGAAAAACAAGAAAAGCACATTGCCTACAGACCTCTCTCCTTGTAGTAAATCTGATTAAGGAAACCTTGGCTTGACATAGATAGATAAAGGAAAGGTTTCCAGATGGGTTTCTTTAAGCAGAACGCCCCCCTCCCCCACAGCCCATGATCACACTGATTGACAAGACAGCTGTTGTATAAAACGGGCCACACCTATAATTGTCTGAGTCCAGGCAGCGATCTATTCGGTCGGCTCTATAAATGCACACTGACTGGCATGCATGGGAATCCGATAACCTAAATTTCACTAACTCAATCCTCCCACATCCTCTGTTCAAGTCCCTGGCCCCAGGAAAGTGAGACACCACAACCACGGCCAAACGCCACAAGACCAGCATATATTTTGAACATGCTAGTCCCCCAAACTGGTTTGACAACAAGGCTGTGTCTCTCCCAGTAGCACTTGGACACAGGATGGTACTGATTGTAACTCGTCTGTACTTTAAACACATAGTTTTAAGAAGCTAGAGTCACTATCAGAACAGAAATATACAGAAGGCAAAATACATCACGGACATCCTCCCAAATAAATACCTTGCCCTCGAAAACCCACGACATCACAAGAGCCCACTGCATGCAGGTGCCATCCCACACCACCAATGTCCACGGCACGATTCCTTTACAGGTCGGGAATGCTGTGACAGTGGCGTGGTTCCAAGTCAAGCAGGTAAGGACAGGGTGTTGTGTGTGATTCAAGTCCCGAACGGGACCAAACCACAACAAAAGCAATGCTACTTTGAGATCAACTGAGTCCTGAGTACATCTCTGCTATTCTAGATTCACGTATAAACCTAGTGAAAAATGCCCAAGCACAGGCGCATTCTAAGTACGTTTACATATATGATCTCATGTAATCAACGAATAGAGGTGGGAGAATGTCCATCCCAGCATCACTCACAACAGCCAAAAGGTGGAAACTAAGGGCCATAAACTGTGAATGGATCTATGCTACAGCGTGGGTGGCCGTGGAAGTCATTGTGCCGGGTGAAAGAAGCCACATACAGAGTCCACGGTTGTGTGGTTCCATGTAGAAGAGATGTCCAGAATAGGCAAATCCATAAAGACAGAGAGTAGACCCGTGGTTGCCAGCACTGGGGGGAAGAGGGGCTGGGGAGTGACTGCTAATGGGAATGGGGCTTCCTTTAGGGGAGAGAAAATTGTTCTGGAATTAGATAGTGGTGATAGCTGCACAACTGTGAATGTACTAAAAACGAATAAACGGTACACCTTAAATGGTGAATTTTACAGTATATGTGAATTACATCTCAATTTAAAAAAAACTACAATGAACAGAACATGTCTGTGTATTAAGCTCATAATCTGTATTTACAATTATTTTCTTCAAAAGATTCCCAGAAGTAAATTTACAAGGGTCTAAGGATGTGAAGCTCCTTTCTCCATTTCTTAAATTCAGTGTAAAAAATGCAGACAGTGAAACATGAAGAGTAGGAAATAAGATCGCCTAAAACCCAGAAGCCCTGGGTTCATGCTTTAGTCTACTCCCCCGCCCCCCTTCTTTTTCCTACATTTTTTCCACAGCTGACATCATACTAGATACAATTTCATACTCTGATTTTTTTCATTTGTGTATTTCCTCAGGCCCTTTAACTCTTTGTCAGCATCACTTTCTGTCATGTTGGAATCTTCCATCATGTGCAGTAAACCATAATTCATTTACCAGCCACCTCCAGTCATCTACTTAGGTACGTTCCAATTTTCTGCTCTCTGTTGTAAATAATGGGTATGAGCTTACAGTAAATGCTTGCTATATATTGCCAAAGTGCTTTACCATCAGCATACACTCCTACCAGTGAAGTAAGAGATGGTCTTTCTCATCACCCTCTGGGGATATCTTTAACACACTGGTTCAAGGGCTCAGAATAAACCCATATGGCACAAGAGTGCTGTACTTTCAAGGAACAAGTTGGTAGGGAGTACAGCCTAAGTTTAATAGCATTTTCCGAATGTGGGGCAGTTGGGGAGACATGGTAAGCCATGAACTGAGAAGCAGGATCCCCACTGTTCCCACGCTTCAAAGCATGCTCTAATACTGTATCTTAGGGCCCCCGAGCCAGCTCTCACTAATCTCCTCATTCCCTCTCCCCATCAGAGCAATGTCAACCAAGAGAGTCACCCACTTTCCCTGCCCTCAACCACCATTCAGGGATATTGCCATTGCAGATTCTCCCCTTAACAAATGGCTCTTCTTGGCCTCAGCAGAGAAAATGAATACATTTTGCATTCTTACCAGAGTTGGTCCACAAGAAGGGGGGCAATGATGGATGGTACAGATGCTAGCTTTTTTTATTCCCTTTCATCTATTGCATCCTGCAGGGCTCTTTAAGAAGTGGCACTGGGCCATTTCAGTCAGTGCCAGTTCCAAGAGAGCCATTTACTGCCATAAACCCTGGGTGGGTCATTCCGTCGCTCTCTACAGCTCAGTTTCCTCATCTTGAAAAGGGATGATCAGACAAACCTCACAGGGTCATGTTAGCTGGGACAGCCTCTTCAGTTACCACATGGGAGACCAGCTCTATCCACTCCCCTTCCTGCCTCCCTCTCATTTCTATAGTAGACTTGCTGCAGACTGTATGAGTTTCCTTTTGCTGCTGTAACAGATTACCACAAGCTTGGTGGCTTTAAACAACACAGATTTATTATCTTGCAGCTCTGGAGCTCAGAAGTCCGGGTGGGTTTCACTGAACTAAAACCAAAGTGTCAGTAAGGCTGCACTCCTTCTGAGGGCTCTAGAGGAGAATCATTCTCTTGTCTTTTCCAGCCTCTAAAGTGCCTGTGTTCCATGGAGGCTTCCTCCACCTTCAAAGCCAGCCATGACCCCGCAGAGTCTTCCTCAGGAGGCCATCTTTCTGGTTCTCCCTCTTCCACTTACAAGGCCCCTTGTGATTACATTGGGCCCACCTGGATAATTTGGGCTCATCTTCCCATTATAAGATCCTTAAGTTAGTCACATCTGCAAAGTCTCTTTTGCCATGTCAGAAAACACATTCACAAATTCCAGTCCTAATCTGGACATGGGCGTCTTGGGAGGCCATTACTGGTCGTGCCTTCCTTCCCGGCCAGGCTCAGGGCCTTGGATTATCTGATGCCAACTATACCACATTGCAGAAAATGAGAGGTTGGCAGCAGGTGAAAGCAGAAAGAAAAGCATAAACACTGATTCTGAACGCCTTTTATCAAAAGGAGGCCAGGGCAAGCTTGTGGCTCTGGTACTCCACTCTCCATTCTCCTGGAACAAGATGACCTTTCTATTTCCAATTCGTGCTTGTTTTCGATAGGCTCTTCAGAGAGGATACTATTCCTCTCAATTTCAGTTCCAAATCAATCCTCAAGAAATTCTAATGACTCCCTTCACCTTTTCTAACCAGCTCACAGTGAGATTCAAAGCCCACTGAAACATGGACACCAGTCTGTTTGTGGTTATTTACGTGGTGAATTAGACTGTTTGTTGTGCTAGTTGCTTCTCTAACTTCAATGAAATAACATTGACACCCAAGAGCCAGAGTTCTCACTTAGCACTAAGCGGGTCCCTGAACTCCTAAAATCACACAAAAACACTGATAAGCACAGTACAGGGTTTCCAGCAGATTCCCCGAGATGGTTACCCCCCCAAAAAAAACAAAGTTGAGAAGCTCTTACAGAAAGATTCCTCATTTCTCTGTCAAATTTAAAAGAGCAGTGAATATACCACAAATCTGCCACATTCATCCTGAAAAGTCACTCGAATAATCACAACCTTTATGTTTTATCTCCAGATTTAGAATATGCATATACATTGACTTGACAATTGTCACAGAGTCCCAATTCTAGAATTTAGGGTAAAGAGTAATCACACCGAGAACTCAGTCTAAACATTGCAATTGACATTTCCATGTACAGATGTAGCACGTGAAACCCAATTTTAGTGATGAGTCTTAGACTCGTTCTTGAATTACATTCGTGATTTCTGTGTGAAAAGATGAAGCCCTCCTGAGAATCAAAAACTTGTCAGTCTTTTCATTGACTCCAACACAAAACTAACTGTTACGGTTCATGGGCAAATTTCCAGACTAATCTGAAGAGCAAATGGCTCCTCAAAGACATCTCAGGGAAACAGAAGACACAGAGGCTTTTATGAGTGGCGGTGCAGCCACAGACAAATGACCCCAGAGACTCGGAGGTGGGTTCCCCGAGTAGCCCAAAACTTCATTTGCAGGAGAACTGCAGTCTCCACATCCTCAATTCAAAAAATACAAAAAGTCCACCACCAAACTCGCTGCTTCAGCATGGACAAGTGTTACCATTATCCTTTATGCCTCAACCAGGTACATCTTACTCAGACTCTTCTGGAAATGAAACATCATT